ATTGTCCTGATATGGAGCCTTCCCAGGCCAGTCAGCACCATTAGCCCACACCCAGGCATGGCGTCACCCCATTCCCAGGGCACAGTTGTCACACTGTCGGCACACCCATGTCACAGGAGCCACCCAGCACCCCTGCCCTGCCGCCTGCTGTGGATAAGACGCCCCAGGGAAGTACCTCAGGGATGGATTTTTCATATGGCAGGTACTGGAAGACTGGGGCGTTGTCGTTTCGGTCCTCCACGATGACTGTGAGTCTTCTGGTGACCTACCCGGTGTCAGGGAGGGCACGGAATGGAGGTGGGAAATGGTGCCTGGCAGAGCTGGGTGCAGTTCCAGCACGCCGCTCCCGCCCCAGCTCCAAAACCAGCCAGCATCACCCACCTCAGGGTAAAGCCCACCTCCAGTTCCCTTCCCATTGAGCCTCATCCCTGCTGAGACCCTGCTCCCCTTCCCATTCCCATCACCCGCTGCAGACACCCAGCCCATGCTCTGGCACTTACTGGATCATTCTGTCCGTCATACACTGTGATGTTGATGCTGAGCCTGGCCTGGAGCTGGGGGGAACACAAGGCAGGACTTGGTCAGGGCCAGGCATAGCTCCATCCTTGGATGACTGAGCCCCAAAGCCCTCCCACCCACCACGCCTGGGTGGGATGCTGCTCCCAGATGGCTCTTGCCCCTGGAGCTGGGCTTTGGAGCCAGGGAGTGACCCACAGCACCACGCTGAGCAGCTCTCCCACAGAACTCATGCCTCTACCCGCCATGTCCAGACATGCCAGCTCAGGCAGGGACACCTGCCCCGGTCTCTGCCCTCACCTCACGGTCCAGGGAGCTCCTCAGTGTCACGTTGCCTGTTTGGCTATTGACAGAGAAGTAGAAGGCATCCAGACCGCTAATGCTGTAGGTGAGTGGGTCCCCATCTATGTCAACAGCTGTCAGCTGGAAAGCTTGATGGCCTGGGGACATGGGCAGTGTCAGCCCCTGGTTGGGGTCTCCCTCAGCTGCTCCTCCCGCACCCTGGGGCTTCCCCAAGACTGCCTCACTCACCCAGCTGCAGGTCCTCAGGCACATAGACGAGGAGGCTCATGTCGAAGTAGGGGGCTGAGTTGCTTGAAACTACAAGAGGGAGATGGACTGAGTAGCACCTCTGCACCAGGGTCTGCAGGCATCCCACACCCCCGCACCCGGCAGCACCCACCTAGCTCCAGCCCCAGCTCTTGGCTGTGGTTTGGGTCTCACAGGGAGGCAGGGGACCCCACCCTCCCTCACCTTCCTTGTGCTCATCCCACACTTCCCACATCCAGACCTCACTTTTCTTCTGGCTGTAGCACTCATGCTGGACACCCTCCCCAGTGCCCAGCCCCCTGCCCGCTCTGCCTTGCCCTGGGATGACAAAGTTGCCACCAGGTCTCCAAGGTGCCAACAAGCTGGGCAGCTGTTTTGGCATTTCCAAGTCCCCTCAGGGAGCTTGGAAGGAGTGCTGGGGGCTGAAAGCATCTCCAACGCCTCCAGCCCACCCGTATGAGCCACCGAGCAAAGTCCTCACCTGTTGTCAGGAGGAAGGGGAGCAGCAGCAGCGAGCACAACACCATCCTGCTGGAAAGCCTGTGGGCACACACCGGAGAACCAGTGCTTGGGGCTGATGCCTGCCTGCTCCCACCAGCCACCTCATATCCCTCCTGGGAGCAGCCACAGGGGCACGAGGGGCTCTAGAGGGCACAGTCCCCTCTTCCGAGCTTGGCTGCTGAGCAAGGGTCCATCCCACAGCCCCAGGCACAGGGTCCATGGGGACATGGCAGGGCAGGGTTAGCCTACAGGTGCTGGAGACCATGAGGGTGCTTGGGAACCCCAGGAACCTCTCCTCAGCACACCTGGAGGCTCAATTTCTTGGGCTCAAAGCGACACTTGGAGCCCCAGAGCATCCTGTGACATGGCCCTGGTGCCATGGCTTGTGGACAACCCCATAGCTGACAGACACCCCTGCTTCCCCCCACAATGGACCGCGGGGGGACAACATCCCTTACCTGTGGCTGCGTTGCTGGGGATGATGCCGGCAGGCTGCTCTGCGTTTGCACCTTCACATCAGAAGAGACCTTTGCCTCCTGAAATAAACAAGCTGATGAATTATTAACTGCAATTAAGGGGTGAGAAGTCCCTCTCTCATCTACTTTATTCCATTCATCCCCCAGCTCCTGCCCAGCCCAGCCCCACACTTGGTCCCTGACCTCAGCCCTCCAGGTCCCCGCGCTGGGTATTGTTCCCCAGGATTTGCCACCCCAATCTGCATCTGGCTCCCAGGAGGGATGGAGAACCTGTGGGGATGCAGAGGGATCTCAAAGTGCTCCACGGGACTGGAAAGGAGCTGGGGAAATGTCCTGCATCCCCTGGGCTGGGGACACCAGG